ATTTCGCACCAAATTCCGAATTTTCCACATGTAAAATCCATAAACGGAGAAGTCCACCCTTTTTCACCTAATCATGTCGCTTGCGAAGTATGTGCCTATGATTTCTGTGAAACCTTGGAAACTGCACAGTCAATCGAAGTCATAAATCTTCCTCCACGAAAAGCACTTCGCGAGCATCGTATTCGGTGGAAAATAATTGACAGTTAATCGATCGACATTGTTACAACCACTAGACCACCATCATCGTATCCATTTCATGGTCGTCTCAGCTGTCTTATTTCCAATGCTAATTTTTAACCCGGAACACTATACTCAAGCACAGTAATCCAATACTCACAGCATATGCTACTTCTAAACAGTTGTCCACATTATTCCTATGCGATCCCAATAGCCACATCCATTATATTCTACTCCATGCATAGTATTCTACTTTACTGTTCTACAACACTGCCATCGTTCCGCCTCACAACACCTCCACAAGCAATGAACATCAACATAAATAAGGCAAACGGATACACCAACGTCCGACATTCACGCTTAGTGCTGCGCAGCATGTCACCACCACAAGAAGCAGTTAGAGCAGAGGACCTCCAACTTTGCAGCAGATGCACGACTTCACACAACCGGCAGCAAAAGACCGCCTTCACAAGCTGATGAGCGTTCATACTTCTTTCCTCTTCCCACGTATATTTTTACTTTATAACAAGCATCTTTGCCCTCTCGCACAAAACTCTGAATGCTCACCTCTCCCTCAGGTTTCCTATCCCTCACATTGTGTTATTATTTTAAATCGTGGTGGGGAGTATAAGAACTATTCTCCAAATAGTTCCTATTTTCTATATTAGCGTATTTTCCTCGTTCACCTGTAACTATCTTAAATCTATCTTCCCATCTTTTCTAAATCGTCTGTTAGCCACTATCTCACGCAGTTACCTCCAAACTGGCTTAAAAGGGATTCTATAAGTTCTTTCAATAAACCGCTCTTCTTTGTTTGACAGTTCGGGCACTGAATGAGCAGCAGTCTGCTGAATGTACTTCCCATCATTTGCCGTTCCATTGAAGTTTCCGTACGAGAAGCTGCGCCGTTTCGCATGTAGCCTTATCAGATTGTGCTAGTTGAGAAAACCTTTGGAACCTCTCTCTAGGCGCCATCTCTAGTTCGCTTTGGCAAAACCTCACCCACTACAAAAGTAAAACAAGCAGCCAGTCGCTCTTCGTCTTCGAGTGTTCGTAGAGTTCGTCCAGTGTCTACTATTATTATTGTTATTGCTACTATAATCATAAAGCTGTAACACAGTGTCTCAAGACGTCCGACTCAGTGACTTAGGCGCAAAAGACCCGCGTGGCAGCTACAAGGACTATTATTCCCAACGACTAGGTATCCATATAAAGTTGTGGGCTCAAAGCCACAACATGCACTGTGCTCCCAACATCCTAGCTTTTGGTTAAGTAGCCATAGTGCGCTGCTCACAACCGACCGCCTCCTACACAGACTCTGTGGTTCTCACAACAAGCTGACTCCTCGCTGAAAAGCTCACGTGCTCCACTCACGCGTAAAAGTTATTTTTTGCAACAGCCTACAAGCAATGCAACAAAAAACCAGCTCAAAGGAGAAAACGCAAGGTGCAGCACTCATAAATGTCCGGCTTTTACATGAAGAACAGCACTATGCTGTGCTTACGTAACATTGCGTCCTCGTTTAAGAGATACTGCGCAATGATACCGAAATCCTAACCAATTGCTTGGCATTCGACATATTTCGCTTACGAGAGGCTACACGCTGCATGAAAAGCTACTGTGCCATGTGTTCAACAAGTAGCTTCCAGGTTCATCAGTTTTTGTGCCGTGCTCATAACACGTTTGGTTTCGGTTCAAGAACCCACGTGTCTTGCTCGCAACCAGCTCATACAAGGAAGAGTAATGTACCGTTTTCAAAACAGAACAAATAATTCCCGCTGCGGACTCTCTATTAACCTCGGCATTGATCAAATAGCTCTTGATATGCTTGTCAAGCAAACGCAGGGTGTTACTTTACCCCTTATTCCGTCAAAGCTGACGTCTTGGCAGTATCGCTTTTTTCAGAGCCTTCTAGGGTATATTGATACGCAATTTACTACGCCAAACCCTTCAATACAGAAAGGTGAAAATTTAAACGGCAATCATATGATCAGCCGCTTCTCGAAAAAGTCAGCACTTTTTACATCCCTTCTACTGTGAAAGAAGAGCTGAAAGAGCAAAGAAGAGTCCCATATGGTCGATGACTGCTCCGCACTGCAGGTGTCTGTGGTGGGGAACGAACGCGCTATTACAACTCTTATCTACCGCTCATTATTTTCCCACAACAGAGTATTATGTGTAATAAAACAATAAACAACATAAACAAAACAAATAAACAACAAACAACAAACAAACATCTTGCTGAGATATCTGCAAAACTTGGACCAGTTGCCAGATCGAACTGCGACAACCCATTCCGGGGTCATGTTTTTACACACGATACCGCTGAAGTCCTCGTTCTACCTTTCCCTCAGCCAGTCTTTTTACACTTGCGATTCCACCAGCAATAACCCTTCAACGAGATTGGTCGGAGGAGCACAAATCGGCATTAAACCCTGTTAAGCTGACGCTGTAGTTGAAATCGCAATGTATAACTTTTATCTATTGCCTATTTTTTTATTCCACGGCAGGGTGTTATGCGAAATTCGACCGCAGTGATGTTTAGATGCTTATAGCACGATTAGGGTAAAAAAGACCCGCTGAAGGAAAGGAATAGCGAGAGCCTCAGTGATGTGCGTAGCCGTGATTTCCCGAAAGGGTACCCGCGGTTCGATATGGCCTGGAGTCCCAGTTTTGCAAATATCTCAGCACCATTGTGGTTGTATTTCACAGAACAGTTTGTCTGCTAATACACTCTGCTTAAGATAGACATGCAATTTCTGATGCTGCTGATGTTCTGATGAAGACGAAGACATCGAAACGTTAGCCGACAATAAATATATTTATCAACCTCGTGTAAGGTCATCAAAGAAAGAATACGCATGCATCTTTTTCACCAGCCTGCGCCTGTTTTCACTTTTCTTTGTAGCGAATGTCGCCGAATACTCGTTGAGTCGCCTTTCCCAAAAACCCCGAGATAGTCGTGCTAAAGCGTTTCTACGCGGAACAGAGGAAGTGAGATTGGCGCGGACATGCCTAGCACCAATTTCATGAATTTTGAGGGATTAGAGATCTGAGGAGTCAGGAGCGGGGTCAATCAGCGCCCGGATAGATTAGGACTGTCAATGAACGAGATCAATACCGCTGACTCGTTAAAATAAGTTTTTCAAAAGCCTTTTGCTAGTCATTCGATGACCAGAAGGACTGCACTGTTGCACGGGAATGAAGACCAGCATGAAATCGGAAATTATTGTGCAATCTGACTGTCACCTACACTCTGTTTTGTCGAGTCATTCTACTTAGGAAAGCATTTAACACGATTAGCCATATCCACACAATAATGAATGTTAGTAAGATATCGCGAGAGCATCAAGGACCGCTTCACTACTTTGACCGACTTAAAAAGCCCAAGAAAAAACTCAATTGAGACGAAATCGTGGTTCTCCTTCGCACCCAAGGTACCCTGCATCCTCCATGAGATATACAACTGTGCAAAATTCGATCAATCTGCAACTTCACTAGTATTACTTATATAGTATAAGTGTGATAGCATATTACCAGAATAACTCATATTCGCTCCTGAGGATGTTCTGTCTGCCGTCGAAATTGACTACCGGCAGTTATATGATTTTCGCTTTGATGATGATGTAAACTCTACCATTAGCCATGCGAAATGAATGTTCGTCGATTTCAACGAAACGCGGGAAAGCCTTGAGCTTCAACTAAACCCCAAGCAGATGTTTTGCAAGAGATTCAATAATGCATTGAAGACGACAAAGAACAACTGCTTCACTGCCAGTTATCTAGACGCTGCGATTCTACTCGCGTTGACGTAGGCGCAGGAAATATGATTCTATCTAAGTAGGAAGAGAAATCATTCCAATGCCTGCTACCAAGATGGCAATACTGGCAGTGATCCCCGTACCGGACCACATAAGTGAAGGTGGATTTCTGGTCCTTCTTTCTTTCAACTTTCAGTCATCGTGAACTTTCGAAGATTGATAAGCTGCCATATACACCATGATAACCACAATCAGATGGAACTGCCAATTATTGCTTTGGGGTTAAAGTTGAATTTGAGAAATCACAATACAGCTACACATACACAGAACAGCACAGCACATTCAGTGCACGGAAACAGAACATGTTTCTCCACTTGAAGCCATATTTCGATTACGCCTAATTGATATCATACTGAACTTCAGCATTAGTTCGTCATGATGACACAGAATGAATGTACTGGCACCGCCATCTGCTCTTTTAGAGAAGCTTTTCTTTTTGCGGCCCAGAAAATCTTCAGGCTCTTTCAAAGGTTTTCTAGTACGTTAGACTTCAACAGAATTAAAGTATTACATCAAAATTTTATGTCTTCCTCATAAAAAAGCAGTCCCACCATTTCGTTTTTTCACATGAAAAAATGCTCTGCCCTATATGCTTATGTTTAAAGCACTCTCTCAACCCTCCATTTCTTGTTTCATGCAATTTCAAAGACTATAATGGTTGATGAAGTCACTCGAATAGTGGATGAAACAATTGCGAAACACATCTAAGAACATGAGCAAGAGTTGAGAGGGACTCAGCGCTCTTCTAGCCTACTACAGAACTCAGTTTTTAAATAATCTAAGTGCAAAGTACATAGTTAGCGTTGTTCTCGAAAACAGTTTGCTCACCTAAAACTAATCTTCCATGATTTTGTGTTCATCTCCACGACAATGTGCCACTAAATCGGTGATTCAAGGTACTTTTTTATTTTAAGTATAAGTTTTTAACTATAACAAATCTATTTGATAACAAAAACGTTTTATTATTCCAATATACATATATTTACGTTTACATCGTGATCATTAGATATGTCGTTGGAACCTGCTTTGTTGATCATTGTAGGTTCCAGAAGAACCAACTGAAGTGGAAACTTCATTATTTGAAGGCGCACCATCGCTTGGAGAGCCAGGTACAGGACCGTTATAACCACCTGGAGGTGGTCCGCTTTGCTCCGGTCCGCCGTAGTTCTGCGCGGGAGCTTGGTTAACGGGTTCGCCAGAATATCCACCAGCAGGCGGCTCATTAGCACCTCCTGAATACTGGCTAGAAGCACCTCCACTTGGGCCTCCTGAGTAGTCACCAGAAGCTGCTCCAATCTGTCCCCCAGAATACGAGCCGGGAGCTGGTCCAGTTGGTTCACCTGAATACGAACCAGGAGCTGGCCCATTTGGAACACCTGAGTACCCACCAGAAGCTCCCCCAGTCGGGGAACCTGAATACGAGCCAGAAGCTCCACCAGTCGGGGCTCCTGAATACGAGCCAGAAGCTCCACCAGTCGGGGCTCCTGAATACGAGCCAGAGGCCGCCCCAATCGGGGCTCCTGAATACGAGCCAAAAGCTCCACCAGTCGGGGCTCCTGAATACGAGCCAGAGGCTGCCCCAATTGGGGCTCCTGAATACGAGCCAGAGGCTGCCCCAATTGGGGCTCCTGAATATCCAGCGGACGCTGAACCAGCATAAGATCCTCCGCCAGAGCCTGCATATGAGGGTTGGGAAGCACCAGCGTACCCACCAGATGGTGCAGCGCCATAGGATGCAGCTGACCGAGAATATGAAGGCAGAAGAGGTGGTGGCGCTCCAGCATATCCACCAGAAGATGCACCAGCGTATGATGGTAGAGGTGGAGCAATAGGTGCCGATGCATACCCACCACTCGATGGCGCAACTGCGTAACCTTTTGGTGGAACAGCATATCCACCCGAGGAATGAGCTGCCCCTCCACAGGCGGGGGGTGCTGGGCATCCGCATCCACAGCCACCACCACCACCTCCGCCGAACAGAAACGCATGACCACTTCCTATCACAGCGACAAGCAGAAGTAGTTGCATACTGAAAGAAAATATTAAGTATTGATTCAGGCGAGGTAGAGTGTAGTGTAGTAGCAAAACATTTAAACAGTTAAGCATTTATGCGTGGTTGGAGACTCAACATAAAAGTTGACCTAGATGAAATGAGTCAAAAGCCAAAGTCAAAAACCTGTAACTCATATAGAAACAGCACCTCGATTTCACAAATCTTGCCTAATTTCTATAACGACCGCACTGCTGACAAAACACATAGCTTTCGACATGCATATGCTACGGATACAAGGAACCCCTTGATCGTGAATTTCCTAGTTTATTAGAAAGAGTTTCCTAGCTATGAAATAGAACAATAGGGAGAAAAGAAACGATTGGATGGGAAATGTTAATAATTGGTGTTATGCGGTAGCTTTTTATAGCTACCGTGCCCGCTTGTGGTGGCGAGTTTTCGACCATATTTCGGCCCGTCCACGACGAGTTTCGCATAGTAGAGGAGCTTGTCTCGATATAATCGCATGCGCCGGCAACCTTAAACTTTGACGATTTCTTATCTCAATCCTATTCAGGACACGCCCCTAAGCACTGATGAACACGGAGAAGAAACGGTGAGGAGACTAATGTTTTTGCACTTGAATCTTAAAATACGTATGAAATCAATGTTCTCTTTTTCATACTATCCGTCTTCCACATCTCCTGTGCGGATTACAGCGCTTCCCGCATTTGATTCGTTTCCTCGCATCCATCATCCACCGTCTCCCATTCTTTCACGATGCCTTCAGCTGCTGCTTGGGCATTTTCCTTTCGTTATGAATACTTTGAATGCTCGTCGAGTCGATTCTCCTTGTAGTCCTAAGGTAGCCTGGATAAAGCGTTCCCACTTGGATTGAGGTCACTGAATATCGCAGACAAGTCTGGCCCCAATTTCTTGACTCCGGAGGAACAACAAGCCTGGGCAGCCTGGAGCGGGACCGAACAAGCATGATCCTGCTCGTGATCATCGCCATCACGATCACCGTGCTACTCGCTCTTTAATGTTCTTCATACAAATTAATTTAGGACCACTTAGAGCAATACTCTGATATGGCTTTTAAGTCGGAGCAAACAGACATGAGTTATTTGCATTAAATGGAACACCGTACTTGGAATTTAGCGTACTTGTAGGCAACTTAATATGACTAAGCACTACTTAAACGTTCCAGCTGAGAACATCATAAGTGCTAAAAATTGCTGTCCTCCTCTTTTTCCGATCAAAGACGGGGAGTTCTTCAACAACCAGTTTTCACTTCTGGATCCATATTCACGTGTGTTTATTTACTACTGTTTTACGATGTAATTTCCAATGCTGACTTTTCATTCCGCTTCTAAATCTTCAATGTAGCGGATCTATTCGAGGGACCTTGGAAAGCGCTGGTTCCATTTTATGGACCAAGGATAGTTTAATTCCTTTTCAATTTTACTATATTCAGCTGATTTCAAGCCCTATGTATCGAGCTTTTCATAAGAAGTATTCGCCTACAAGGTTATAAATAACAAGTAAATTATTACTTCAAAATATGTAAGGGTATGAATTCTTCATTATGCAAATGAAACCGCATAAATATAGATGCTGTGATGTTACTATGCGAACTTGAAGTGATATATTTGTGACTAATTGTTACCCACCGCATTTATCCCTTCTTAATCTTCATTCCTAACTTCCCTTCTTTCCACTTTTTTTCTTTTTAATCTATCACGCTCTTTCCAATTTTCACTCTTGGCTCATCAGACTCTGCTTGCATGACGCGAGTGATCACTTAAATTACATCATTTGGCACCAATACTTACGTAAATAGATAGACATGTATTCAAGCGCAGTTCTCTCTTATTAATTGAACTAATTCACAGTCATAGTTTCTAAATAACTCAGATAGTTTTCAATTCTAATTTTCAGCGAACCTCGACATAAACAATCAATGCTTTGGTTTATCCATAAGCGTACACGAAATTGTTAGAAATCCTTTTTTCGGCTGACGTTTCGGCGGTTTCTCCTTCTTCCGAACCGCTACGATATAAATCAAGTGTCCATTTTTTATTCTTCCGATATGGGTCTTTATAGTTATCGTATCAAGGCGAGTCGAGTAGAATGGAGCGCTGCACGAATGAAGTGACGTCACCCAGCAATGCGCTTTTATAGAATACTGTAGCCGTGCTGAAGTGATCTGACTCGCTAAAGCAGTTCACCATCTCCTAGAGGATGGTCCTTAGTCATTCGCGCTGTTCTCCGCTCTCCTCGATTCTACTCGAAGCGACGACTACGAAGACCCACATCAAAGAAGCTGCTGCACTGCTCACGCACTCGACTACAATCGTCGTGCTTTTGAAGGAAACGAAAACTCCGAAGCGTTAGCCATAATGGCAATATGTAACAACCTCATCGATTATCAATTAACCAAAACAATTTAGATACTTGATACTTGAATGGCCCGTCCTCACTTTTTGTGCGGTCCCCAGCATAATCTCCAATTTTCGGAGATTTGCTAGTTAAGCCATTGTGGTTCTCTCTGGAATCCCGAGGTTACCCGGACCAAAGCCTGCCTCAGGTCTTCACCACCACAGTTGGCCGCAGCCCTTGTGGATCAGAAGGAGATTTGCCACCATGCGACTTTAATAACAGGACGGTGGTGGATTCTGGTATTGGTTTAACAATTTAGATAATTTTCTTAATTGTGCTGAACTAAAACGAATCGTCGTCAGACTCCATAAGTGATAGAAGAGAACTTTATCAGGCAACAGGTGTTTAAATCATTAGGCAAAAACCTTAGTAACGTTGTCAAAGTCTTCAAAAGACATATAAAACTAAAAAAACCAGGTGGTACTTTGAACACTGATTTCGCATAAGTGAAAAATACTGTAGTTCTTTCCAGTTCTAATGCATATTTAAATAGTAACACTGGGCAGAATAACTTCGCGATCTATTAAAATCGTAACTGTATGAGCAGAATCGTTCAATATCTAATTATCCATGAAAACACTGGAATTCGAACTGTTGCATATACCTAGAGCGGTCGATCGACTAACTATAGGAATTGCAAATGTCCTTGAAGAATGACAGTTGAAAGACAGCAAACTACCTTCCGATTCACGATGTGAGATGATTGTCAGCAGGAAAGATCTGGGAACGCTGCAGTACGGCTACCTTGAGAATACAACGGAGTACGAATACCATGCTCATCCAGTACTCAACAAATCAAGAAGGGTCTGTAGATTTTTAAGCCGCACCTGAGGCAGGAAATGAACCAGACCAGTTTCGTGAAAGATGGTTGCAACGCAAGGAAACGAATTGAAGAGCGCATCTTATGAGAACAAACCATACAGGTATCCAAGGAGGATGAATACTGAAATTTTGTAAACAATGCTACTAGTGCGGTTTACTGTAGACAACCATTGGGCACCTAATGAATCGAGTCCACTCAACAACTATATGAATCACTTTTGTAAAGTGGTAACGAGTATTTTGTTGGAAGCACTTCTTACTATTAAGTCCTAATTAGCCACAATCAACACCACAACGCTTGTGTTCATTTAGTACACCAAATAAAACTAAACGATCTATAAGCGTTCACAGAAACCAAATCAACATCGCAAAACTTTTCATTTCAATAACGGAACAACTATAAAATTCACGATTCTTAAAGACACTAACAATGCAAAAATTGGCCCAACTCAATCTGTAACACTCAGTTATTCTAAGGTTTCAACTATTTCTATCTATATCCTAGATATCTTAATATTATCTCAATGAGATCAGGTATTTCTTCCTGTATCGTTATACTCACAACATCGTTTTCTTTAGTAGGACCTTCTAGAGTGGCAAGTTGACTGTCCAGAAGAGAAGTAGGCATAAAATGATTTACTCTTTTCCGCAGACGAGTTTCCAAAAGCTGTCTGAGAAAAAGAAATATAAAAGAATATAAAAGAAACAAACTTGAATAATCTGGAGGTAGAAAAACGTAGAATTGTTGAAAACAACAAGGAGATGGAGGATTCAGTGGAGATTCACAGAGTATACTACACTTTCCTAGCTCAGATTTACTTTGTCGTTTTTCAAGTAAGATTCACTTAAATGTTGGATTAAACACGAATCAAACTAACCTGGTCACATTAAGGAATATGAATCGGCAGCGAACATTCTTCCTCAATATATTCCGATACTGAACGCGTAAAGCAGAACAACTTATCACGACGTTTTTATGAGTTCTACAGTATTCACCAATCGATGTCAACCATGGCATACGATCTTCGTCATTAAGTGGAATTCCTATAAATATTCAAATCTTGTCTTTCTAGTCCAAATTTTCAGCTCTTAATACGATTATGCTCTCCATAGATAGTTTAAACTCTTCTCTTTGATCAGTATTGTCAACACTTTTAGCATACGGTACCAGAGTTTTCGCATAGTCTCACAGCAGGACAGCGATAATTTGCTTTTAAGCCTGAGACATTTAAAAACAAAAGTAGTTAAGCAACTCCTAGTGGTCACGGCTATGCCATAAGTCCGTTATTTCACGCCATATAGCTGGGGAGAGTCGCTCTTATCCGTCTCAAATTGAAAAGCAGGACATTCACTGAATTGGCGATTAGCAGATGAACGAGCGGAAACCGGTGTCGTTTTATGAATGTTATGAATAATCGCGCCATCAATTTGAAAACCCACGAGTCGATAGCACTAAAAATGGTCGATATCGTATTCCCATTAGCCTTTCCGCCTGAACAGTTTAAGTTTTTAACGAGTAATCAAGGACTATGATGCTGTAATGCTGGCGCATCAGGATAGACAGCTAGAATTATTGGGCATTTTGAATCTAGTTTATGATATTTATAACGAGAAATAGAAAAAACAGACTTACAAGAGTGCCGTCGTGCGCCGCCTACGAAAATGCATAGTTACTTGCATAGCCATTACCTATTAAGCTTTAGAATCAACCACATTAACGCATTTATGAGATGTAAAGATTTTGGCGCATCGAAAACTGAACATCGAATACTTGACCACAACCGTAATTGCCTGCAAATTGTGTTCCCGACCAGCTTTCATCTTCGCTAAGTTGGATTCCGAGTGAAAATCATCTCCATCCTTGTAAGTATAGCCTATGCGTGCAGCAAGTTGTCGACCAACGGTCGTTTTTCCGCATCCACTGACTCCAATCACAAATATCACATCAACATCCATTTACACCAATTTATAAGCAATCGCCGTTGGATCCTGAACATGGAAAACTTTGAAAATTCCCAACGCGATCAAGAGAGAGAAAAAAAGGGGGCGGGAGGACTCGATCATCGTCGTGAGCTTTATCACTTTACAGAAAAAAAGGCCAGAAATTAAAACCATCGTCTACAGTATGATCAAATAATGTGGACGCCTCTAGAAGTCATGATGCTACGACAACGATTACAAAAAGCGCCCTTCGTAAGGAATTCCATACCACCTTACTAACGTTCGCTTTAAGGTTGAAGTAACCGCATTCCTAATATCTAGGCTAGCTGCTGATCGAATTTCGAGCTAGTTCATACTAAATTTTGTTGCATTCATTACTTAGATGTTTTATAAGGCACCACGTATATTAGAGGGATGAGTTGTTTCTAGACGCTTATCACGTACACCAGGTCCACATAACTCAGAATTATCTAAAATCGAGAGTGGTTAGGTGTTTCCAAAAAAGAACCTGAGCATCATAGAAGTGTATGCCAACACGCAAATTTTTCGTTACCTGAGAAATTCTGCCTCAAAGTGACAGAAACCTTTAGATTACAATGCTAGTAAAGGCGACATAAATGTCAGTCTAAAGCGTCTAATGAAGGCAAATTCACAACTTATCTGTAGGAGTTAAACATCCTTTTGAACGTTGCAGAAGAGCCTCACCACTTCCACGAATGACAAAGCCGAGCAACTTGAATACTCAAACACTCAACTCCACATCCATGCACTCCAAAGACAGTGAAGACAATTTCATAAACCACTACTCAGACCTAACCATAGAATATATATATATATATATAAATATATATATATATTTACTCACTTCTAAGCGTGAACTCTCTCGCAGATACCCGCAGAGTTTCACACTCTCTGTCCATTTGTTATCTACTCTTCCCATTATAATTGACCTATTTCTCTTTTTGTTCTTAATTCCTCTCGACAACGAAGACTTGACATTTCTTTATCCTATCAACGACAAATCTCACGCTGTACCGCCAAAATGTAGTTCAAAAGAGATGGTTCTATCAATGTGTAAACATAAACACTACGACGACTTCTCTGGCGTTTTTCTGAGCTGCGCTCAGTGGCTTTTCACCAGTTTCGTATTCCTTTAAGGACCTTCTATAGTCCAAGTCTAGGACTAAAACCACTTTCTTCCCCAGCAACTGCTTCTTGGCGACGAATATGATCGCAGCCTCCTAATTGGAAAAACAAGTTCAGTTCTATTCGATCGTGCATTTTTCGGTGTCATTTAGGGAACCAATTCTATACAAGGTGAGTGGCCGCCATCTCCATCTTGCAGGACAGCAGCTCTTCTTTAGTTTACAGTTGAATCACATCTCCACACTAGAGATATTGTGGTCGGATCCACTGTGCAGTACGGCACTACGAGTTGCCAAGGATAGGTTATCTGTTTAAAATCCACATCGAATCTTGCATGATGCTCAAAAACTTGACGCCCAAGCGCTTGCGGAAAACTCGAGCATAGCCACTTGAGGTTTCCCTGATGTTACAAATGAAGAGCGAAATGCGCTTTTCATGGTATGCTAATCTGTTGACTTGTTTTAGAATAAATAATATCCGCCGTAAGGGAAAATTTCCTCTTCCGTCACCGTTTCCCTACCGCCAAAAGAGGTCAGGCGCATATTGCCCGTGATAACGACGTTGGTTCTCCCTTAGTTGAAAAGGTTTTTGCCGTGGAATTTCAAGGTGATTAAACCAGGAGTCCTACACCGTCATTAGATGCACTTCGTCTTTGTGGATTAGGAGAAAATTTATCGCAGCTGCAGAGTGAGTGCACCATAATTCCTGACATATTTTTCTTGGATTTTTTGTTGGAAATCCTGTAGTCTTAACTAGGACGATCTTACCGAGAAAACCAATTCGATGCTTCATCAGCAGCCAAAAAGACCTCACCATTGTGAGGTGATAAGAAGATTACGCAACACAGACAGAACATGATAAAGATTCCAAATTTTCCACATTAACAACCCCACAACAAGTATCTAAGTGTCGTCAGAGAAAACGTGCGATTTGAATACACAAACTGTGCAACTGATGGAACATCTATTCTACCTCCCCGTTTTCGCAAAGCTTCGTCACTTCCATCTCGCTCTTTAGAAAGCAAAGGTGCTTTACCTTATGTGAAAACTAGTAGTTTCCTATCATTAAGATTACATATGTTCCAGCTGAATCCAAATTATCGCCGTAGTTTGTGTTATTGGTACAATCTAGCCGGTGCACCTAGTAGCACGTACTCCTGCGAGACCTGAGTGAAGGTCTCAATACATAACAACAGTGAAGCCTACTTATGAGTCACACACATTGCTCTGTGGCTTTTTATGGCACAGTTTAGTATGTTGCTCGATAAAACTGAACTGATGTATGTTCGGACTGTAAACCTCGGTTTTGAAGCACGAATTCGACATTCTTTATTATACCAACAATCTCATTTTACTATGGTTACTGGCTGCGATCCCTTCAGAGAATGAAATGGAGGTAAATAGAACCAGCGAGCCAATCCACCGTACATAAACGCTGAAATGATGGAAGTCGATGTTCAATTTTAAAAAAAGTGTAGATATGATATTGAGATCTCCAAGAAACTCTGATAATCACTGCTTAATATAATTAGCTCACAGTTGCCTTAAAAGGATAAAAGGATAAAGCTCTTGGCGTTGATCAATCCATGAAGGACGCTCCATGCATCCGATTTCATTAAGCGTTGGAGGAGATTGAATGCGTATCTGGTCTTTACTGACTCGCGGTGGCCGACCGATGTATCGAGCCAGTGCTGCTACCCTCCCAGACAACCCTGATACTAATCTGCCGACCGCAGAAAGATGGAAGGCTTGGTGATCACGGGACTTCAGGCACAGGGATCGATTCCATGTGCTTTACAGGGCGCCTCTGGCCACTGCGCTACACATGTCCCTTAGTTTTAGAAAATAAAAAAAGAGATAAGTTTTTTTTTAAAGAGCCACTGACCGGCACTAATACTCCATACGGCAAATTTCACATATGGCCGTTTTAAGCAATGCGAAGCAATTGAATGGTAAAACACATAAGCTCCAATAGCCGCACAGCTTAATGAGCCTGTCAAACGACATTCGAAACAATCCTTTGCTACCAGTTTCGATGGTATTTCATCTGCCATCTGAAATTACCAACTGGAACCAACATAACATACTTCTTAACAAATATACAAATAATTAATAACTTACGGGTCAATAACCAAGTAGAGAACAACACCTATAACACACAGTTCGAATACGTATTTTATTTCCAACAACACATTACTCTCAAGCTTTCCGCATCGAAGCCTTCTCTTTGACGAAAAAACTGAAAGGAAAGATCCCGAATTCATTCGCAACCGAGAGATAAACGCAACCTAGAATTGGATATAATGGATTAAGTGACAACAAAGCGGTAAAGAAGGAACTTTATTCTCAAAAAAAAAAAAACGGATGGAATAACAAAGCCGCCATCGCTGTAGTGCCGTATTGAATCCAAGTAAAACAGAAGATCGCCCTACTTTGTTACTATTTTCATTCTCCATCTAATAACCTAAGATCTTTGACTTGACATAATTGACGAACCACTCGACAAAAGAGGACAACTGCTGTTTACCGCAAGGAGATCAACAGGTCACCTCGACCACTCACAGAACAAGTACAAAATAGGAAATAAAACGAATTGATCTCTCGAAAAAGGAAAAGACCACGATAGTCTGTCTGCACCTATGAATAAGAGTAGACAGTACAATTTTCTAACTTTCTAGAATATTATATACATAGCAAATATATAGATATGTATTGGGAGGAATTTAGAAAAAGCCAATTACAATCAAAACGCGAAGAATTCGCATGCTCAATGATTTCCTTGGAAACATAACGTTACCTATAAAGAAGAAGAAGCTGCAATGGCTGTACTAACATGCGATACAAAAAAGCAACAAACCCGTGAAAAGACATTGTCCACATTGTGTTTAGTCGAAAAAAAAAAACAAAAAATATAAGGCTTCAACCTAAATATCATTAGAATGAACAGGATGTGGCAATGGTACCATACTTTTCTTCTCCTTGTCCATTGATAATGCCTTCCGCATATCTGAATGTCAGTACAAAGGGTATATAGAGAGAATGTGCTCCAACTATGTGAAGACAAGAACTGCACTTACAGAACAGGGAAACCATTTTATCTTCCAATCTCAGCATTATTGAGTTTCTACGTTTAATGTTTACGTTGCAGTCATATTTTACGCGAAATCAATAGATTAACAAATAATATTACTTGACACTTTGAAATAATTCCTTTCAAGACATTAAGTCATTTTCAACATTTGTTAGAGAGTACTGCCCCCAACTTAAAATTTTATTCGAAACTAGTCAAACCAATGCATCAGTTTTTACTTAGGTCGTCATGTGACATAGTTATCTCAAAGTAGGACCTAAAGGAAAGTTTACAACGAAACGACTTGCATCATCAATGAAATTGTCTCCCTTAAACAATTTCTTTTCATTCTAAAACGATACCACCACATTCAAAAACCGACTACTTTGCTGGAATAAGTTTTTTGAAATGCGAGAATATGGATCTTCTGTTTGATAAACTACGACTATTCACTTACGATGGCTGTCAATCAACATTCTCACCATAGACTCACAATGGATACTACTAGTGAAAAAAAAGCAAAGTAAACAATTGGACTAACCATAGGCATTCTCGTCTCTTGGTCCTGAGTAATAATCTATAATCTCTCTGTAAACAACGTATCCAAGTGCTTCATACATGGTGATGGCGACGTGGTTCGAAACACGGACGAAAAGATCCACGAAATATGCCTTCTTCCTGAATGACAGCATGTCGATTTCAATGCGTACGAGGTGAAAATAATGCCCGCCTATAGCCATACACCACCACCTCTCATCTCACAATGAGCTTAGTTAACTGCATAAAAACCACTAGAATTGCAGATTTTTGCAGCCAATAAAATAGAAGTTTTGATGCTCCATGACAAAAAAATCTATCTTTCTTGACCCCAGTAAACCTTTTGTTCACATCTTAGCGTCAAAGCCAGTACCTCGGACGCGAAAGCAGTGAAAAAAGCGAAATTTAATTCAGCAGGATACAATGATGTTCATAATGTACCACTAGTTTTGAAGCCATTGAAGCGTAGGAAGTTTTGAAAAGTTCAATTTCGCCTCACATTATAAAAAACTTCTATTCATAAAAGGATCTGAAATTACTGGGTAATTCGTGGAAATTATGTACCCCCCACTCAGTACGGCAAAGTCTCTTTTATAAGCCTTCAATGTTCTCGACACTCTGTTGCTCTACTAGAGAAGGAACTATTTTCTGTTGCCAAAAAACCGATTTCGTGCCGAATATGTTAAGAATAATACCTACCAGGCAAAAGGTTTTAAATGTCTAGAGAAAATGATAAGTTTCAAACAAAGGTGAATAAAACTTCCTAAATATGTTAGTACCCCAAGATATCACTGGGCTTGAAATTGAATATGAAACAGCAACTATGGCATTTATAGAACAAATTTCTACAGCACAAAATCAAGCTAGAAATTTACACATTCACTAGCCTTAAATACAGCCAACTCACATGTCAGAGATGTGCTCAAGAGTGGACATCATGCGTGCTCCGAGTCCAAGTCGACGATAATCAGGTGCCACGGACAAAGCAGTAACATGACCGTGCCAATTTTCATCTCTCCCTTCTGCTTTTCCCATAACTAAAAATCAGAATTCTGGGTTTTTGCCAAAAAATAATGCTTTATTTGTTTTCTGCCCCTTCTGTTTTCCACGCCATCATAATCTTATATAATCAGGACAAAAGGGTAAAGATCTGGCGTTGATCAATCCCTGAGGCATGTGTTACGCATTTGACTTCATTAAGCATCGTTGGAGGTGACTGAATGCATATCTGGCCCTTCCAGTGACTCGTTGTAGCCTGCCGATATATCAAGCCAGTGTTGCTATCCTCACCATCCTCCCAGATAAGTCTGGTACCGATTTGCCGACCCCCAAAGGTTTAAGGACTTGGTGGGCCCAGGGATCTATCCCATGTGTACTGCAGGGCGCCTCAGATTACTGCGCTACACGCGCCACTTATAATCAAACAGCTATGCAATTAAATCTCACGACTTTAACATGGAAATCGTTTTAGTCTATAGTCTTCAAGCAATCTGCCAAAAAATTTCAAGGCTCACAGTATCAGCAGGAATATCAGATACGCTGGAAGAATGCGATGCTCTGATCACTACCTGTGATAAGGACATTGAAATACTCTAGCACGGAGGCTTAGGAATTCCAGGGAAAATCGCAATTGACCAGTGAGACGAACAACTCTGCTCTTAGGAGATCTGTGCCCGTTACAGAAAAAATAAATTGCGCACTTTTTTGGCCTTTAGTCGAAGCGAAGCTAAGCCTAGTGCAGAGGAATGAGCTGTTTGATATGGCGCATATTTTAGTCACTTCCACCGCTAAATAAGAGCTGTATACCAAGGCGTTTCGCAAGGATATCCGAACCAGTTTCCAATAATTTGTATTGAGTCACCTCTTCCCAAATTTATATAGCAACTACTTCATTTACATCAAACCCACTGCGAGTTTCTGCATCACTCGTTTTCCTATCGAAGAGACTTTGTGCATTCTTTATAACAATACTACTTGACATTACCTGGCCTTGGCCAACGTCCACCTTTGCAAAAACAACTCTAAAATGGTTTAAACCACTCTTGCCATACAACTCCATCAGATTTGTCGAACTGCACATCCTAAGCTTCTACATGAAAAATATTGTGTTCAGAGAGAACACTTCCGCACACCTAATTGAATAGAAAGCTGAAGGTAAACTGCTGACTTACTGTAACCCATGATCTGTCCATTTGGATGCTCCGCCACCTGGTAGTATTCCGGCCAGTTGACAAGATAGTACAAGTAAAAATTGAAACCATACTGAAATCGTAGCAATTTAACATTACGTACAGAAAATCTCCCAAACACAAAAACTTGGAATGTATGAATCATGTAAAGTTCAATTGGCTGATTCGACGTTGAGGTAGAAGCCAGAAGTTCTGTGTACTACAGCTTACCGTGCACGTTCGTACTACATTGAACATATTACATTCTTGAAAGCCGAGTTTTATCTAAGGCCGTTAAGAATCGTGAATGTTTTCTTCCATTTATGAGCACATATGATTAAAACCTTTTATTGTAGCTAACACCTCGGAGTCTTCGCCTTCCTAGGAGCTGCAATAATTCGAATCAGATCTCCACAGCACTAATTTCTTACCATATAGTCTTCGCAAGGGCGCGTGTAGCGCAGTGGTTGGAGGCGCCCTGCAACACACACATGGAACCGATACCAGCGCCCATGGCTCACCAAACCTTCCATCCCTCCGGGATCGGCAAATTGGTACCAGACTTGTTTGGGAGGATAGCAGCACTGACTCGATACATCGGCTCCAAGGATACTTAATGAAGTCGAATGCATAGCGCATCCCTCAGAGATTGACCAAAGCCGAGAGCTTTGTCCTTTATCCTTTTATAGTCTTCGCGGCCGTATCGAGAGGAATCTGGTAGAGCAGAACATCGCAAGAACCACTGCGGCTCCAAAGAAGGAAGACAACGAAATCTTAGTTGCGGTTAAGTGTCTTTGCCAGTAACCTTATTTAAGCTCAGTAAGCTCATGAATACAAGTATTACAATGTAAACATCTATTTCTTTACTCTTCGCTTTCACTTAGTTACAGCTTGAGACAATACAAGTCTGTTATCAAATGTGATTGGCATACAACGATAATAGAAACAGATACACATAATTAGGTTATATCCACATATAAATTAATAGCACACAAGAGAAACGCAATCTAGTGACCATTCATACACTCACCGTCTCGGTCATGCTGTCCAGATTCACGTTATTGAACTTCAGCATGTCCATTACATCAAACGGTCGAATGGTGGTCATCTGTAAACCGAGGTTGACAGGACAAACCCGTAAGTTTCTGAGTAGTACTAAGGGCTCAAACCCAAGTTACAATTGGTCGAGAAAGGAACTAGTCATTTAAAACTTTATCCCTGACCTAAATGGGACAATATATTACATATACAATAGAATAGGCAACGCACATATTAACGCAACTGTGAAATAACTAGAGGCATAGTTAGGTACAAGGGCTACTTCACTACTTCACCAATCCTGACACTCAAAACGTCTTCAATTCAAAGGGAATTCTAATTCTTTCAAGCTTTCTCCGGTGGTGGATGACGCTTTTCTTCAGTCACCCCATACGGGCGTAGAGCTGGGATCTTCTCTTTCAGCCATTTAACCTGAAAGCATTGATTTCTTTGCTCAAATTTGGGAAGAAAGATCGCAAAACCACATTATTCTCTTTCGCTCAAAAATATCTCTAATATCTATAAGAATAAAAGATAACTCCATTCAACAAGATTTTTGCTATACATGGAACATTTCGTTGTTAATTACAGAAATCAACAGACCGCACTGATATATAAGGCGTGAAAAGGACGCACCTCCTAAAGGGCTAATTTGATACAATACTTCTTTCCGCACTGTGTTTACAACATTGAGAATTAAAACGTTTTTCATTTCGCTGACAACAAACCTATGACGAAAACTGCGCTTCCAAGTTGACATACGCATCTTACAATCTTCGTTGAGACTTCTCAATCTTTTAAAGAAGCTTCTCGAATTTACTATGAAAGCGCGTCATTCTACCATGACTTAGCTTGTCGCCTTTCATACTTTTTGCACACTAATGTCTAAAATATTCAAATCCTCCAAGAGGTTACCGCCTCATCATGAGTGGAGGGGTTCCTGTTCCTGAATGTCGCATTGCGATGTACAACAGGGATTCATTCTTCCAGCAGTGTCTCCCAAACTGAGGAGTCCGGCGTTTCTATCAGGAAGCCTAACTAAAAGTAAACCAATACCAAGAATCACCACAACCCTGGTATCAAACTGGTCTCATGGTGGTAAATCTCCCTCTAATCCACAATGGCGAGACTACCTGGGATGATGACGACCTATGGTAGACTTTGGCCCACCTGACCTCGGAATTCCAGAGAACTACAATAACTAAACCAACAAAACTCAGAGAAAGTGGAAATCATGGTGGGGCCCGCAGAACCAGTGAAGATGGGCGGTCCAAGTCCAAGTAACCAAGTAACGTCCAAAACTGAAGAAAGACATTTCCAAATAGCTTCGATAGAATTACTTTCCTTACAAGGAAGGTGATTTCGATAATGGCAATATTAAGCAGACAAGATTAGAGCGCCAAAAGAGCAGTTCTGGACAAATTCCTTTCAAAGCCAACATTATTATCTCACAGTCTTTGGCAAAAGCATAACCATGACGCAGACCACGCCGCGCTTTTGGGATGCAAATAAATCCTCATGAGAGCCTTTAGAAATAAGTAGTTTCTTCACTAAACCACCAAACGTCTGGTGGACATGTTAAGCAAAAGAAACAGTATTTTCAGGGAGAAAAATGAAATGGAACAACAAACAAAAATAGTACTGACATAAAACAGCTCGGCCCTCTGTTCCGGTGCAACCAGTGAAGGGTTATTTTGAATTTTGTAGTAGGCGAAATGCATTACTAAAAGATTTGATAAATGAACTAAAGGAATAACTACAGTGTAATCTAACCAATTATTGAAACATAAAGACCTTTTTAGATGATGAACAGATGAGCAAACCACATCAATCCGTGCAAAAAAAATATTCAAGGGGCATGATTTGAAATATAACCACAATGATGTTGAGATATTTGCAAAACTCTGGATTGCAGGTCTGATGGGAAACCAGCTGAGAGACAGGCGAAACAAAGGAGGCGCATGGTGTGGTTGTGAACGCGTTAGCCCCCGGAAAGGGTAATAGCATGTTCGTTCCCCACCGGACACCTGCAGTCTGAAGTTTTGCAAATATATCAGCATCATTGTGGTCGTATCACACATAACACATTGCGGTTAAAAAAACAATAGGCAAGAAATAAAAAGTAAGCATAGTGATTACAATATCCAAGGGCTGTTATTAATGAACTAAGATATTACGATTTGTGTTCTCGTGTGTGTAAAACAGGATAAGGCACATCTCGGAACCAACCGTAACACTTACCCTCAAATTTAACATAACTTACTTATGCAATCGTAGGGATACTGTTAGGCAAAGGAACCACAAAAAATGAAATCGGTTAGGAATCTTACACTTACCAACTATGAGACCGGTAAACACACCCCATTCCTTGAGTGCACGCGAAGTAACCATCGTCTCTGAACAACAATGAAGGAATTGTTCTCAAAACATGCCAAATACGTCATATATTCGCTATCAAGACAAGTTCCCTACAGAGATTTAACTAAACGGATAAACGACATGGAATTCCTACCTTGTTTCTGTTTTTTTTTGCCTTTCAAGTAGAAGTATGAAAGTGCACGATTTGCTAAAAACAACGGAAAAGATGAAATTGAGAAGGAAAGGCATCTAACTACTTTAAATAAATAAACACATACGAGTACGAAGGGAATGAAAGTTGTATGAACAAAGAAAAGTAAACAAGAAAAAGAAAGCTCTAGAGCAAACGACAACAAAAAACCAACACCTTCGAGGGTTTGCGCTCGTATATCCCTTCAACGTTCACAGGTGGCTATGTTTACCACAAATTATTAAGGATAACGAATTGGGTGGAATTCCATAAATTTCTGGATCACAGTGGAAACAATGTGTTCTAGGTCAACAGCGTAGAGCAGAAAGATCAGTTTATGTCATTTAGGGTTCATTTCCAGATTGTGTGCGCTTATTTCTTCAACGATAAAATAGGCTTACATGCAAATATAGCCAGCAGTTGGAAACTTGGGTTCAGTATTATTTCAGATACTAAAGGCTTGATCATAGGAATGAGGAGATCGAGGGCCATCGATGAGGGACCATCCAGAACTTGTCCACAGGCGTATCCTTTCCAGAAAGCGAACTTCGACGAGGAATTACATTTGTAAACACAATTGAAACATACTACAAAACACCAAGAGGTAATGGAATCAACCACAGTGTTCAAAGAACGGAATGTGCATCGACTCTTCACTTACCAACTCGATTGAAATCGGTATCCGACAATTCTAATCCTTGTCCTCTAAACACATAACGACCGGTCTTAGTTTATAGACAATTGCCGATAATCTTAGAACAGCTACGGTCCATGAAAAATCCAGAACTTTATGCAAATGTACCAGGCTTTGCACTGTAGACTGAAGGATGTGCAAGATTTTCAGGAAGCACCTCTTCAACCATCCCTTAAATCCGCCTAATCCGAAATCTTCCATTTACAAGCCCGAAACCGGGATTCGGGTGCTCAAAACTTCAAGTAAGTTCGACACCCGCGAATTTTATAATTGTAGAAGCAGAAAGGTTGTCTCGTTGACAAAAAACCTATAAATTCTATTCATTTCTATCTAAAGTAGTCGAGTGCATAGTGAGAGTTTTTTCTGTTCAAACAAAGCGACGGAACCACTTCCATGAACATACGTATTTAAATCAATGCACATCGGCATGTGTATGGTTAGCACATACGCTGCGTAAGCAATACAGTACAGTTACGCAATAGACATGGTATTTCAAAGGGTCAACACGTGATTGCTGGTTCATGATTCTCGCAGTGGGGCACGTTTATTTATTTATTTGTTTATTTGTGTTCTAAAAGAGTAATACATTGTGAACCTATGTCTTCGCAGTTTTATTTTTGCTCTAAGGTCACATTTTTCTTTTTATTAATTCGCAAATCGCCAACCGTCCACTCTCAAATGGTGTTGAAAGTAATGTCGTCCTGTTCAGAGGGACCTCTGCCGATTTTGACAGCGGGCGTTACTTCACACTTTTCTTGTGGTACCTAGGTAAGTACCAAGTTCTCAAGGCTGGCATTTTCAGTTGCCTTACTCTCGTTTGATATCGATTCGATGCACATGGATGGAAGCGGTTATGCTTGCCAGTTGGAACGGAAAGTAAAGCAGTTTTCCAAACATCGACGATGAAATCCAAATCTGACTTGCGGATGGTATCGTACTCTTCAAATCGAATAGCTTTAATCTCCATAACCAACTTCATTCTCTGTTCATGCCTGTCAATTCCTGTGACGGACATCGTTCCCGATATTGGATTTCAAATTCCTTGGCTTCACACTAGTATTTTTTTAAAGTTCTTTTTAAAACATGACAATATTCGTCTTTCAGATATTGAAAGTACAGATGAAGGCAACAGGAGATGTGTTAGAAATCTGCGAGGACTCTGATGTCGACAATCAGGACCGTGAAGGTATTTCCCACTGGGTTTTCTTTGTTTTAGCCATTTAGGCTCTGAGCTGATCTTTACTAAGTTTTGTCTTTCCGACGGTATCCTAAGTATATATATGTATATATATATATATATGTATACATATATATGCATATGTTCATACTGGTATTCATATAGGCATTTCCGTGCACAAATATGTGCGTGCACCTAAAAATCGTGCACACTTGAGGCCGAGTGTTAATATCCCCTAAGTCTTCGTTCTAAAGAAGTACCAACTTTTTCATATATAAACGGAAAACAGCGCTCCTTTTATGGGACCAGCTCTACCTGACGTCTTCATTTTGACTCTATAAATTCAAATCGACTCTCTCATATGTTATTGTTGTTTTTTACTTGGAGATAGTTATAATCTCCCATACCTCTTACAGTTCACGTGGCATTCCTCAGATGTCGTGAGTGTCTTAGCACCTTCATCATTTGTTTCTCTGTATTTCAAAAATCAGTCTTGGAGGGGACTATGTTCGTCTGTGTGTTTTTCTGCTTGCTCAGGGTCTGTAAACGTCTATCCTTATTGGTAAGATGCTGTCGGGACGTTGTTTTCTCCGGAATCTCAGATGAGCACAGGCAGTGGTTTACCATTGTTATGCCGATCGAGATTTCCTTCATTGTGGCTAAAATTTTTCGGAATGGCAAAAAATACTGTGGGCCTGTGATGCTGCAAATAGTCGATCGTCTAGACTTTTAATAGGTTGAATCGCTTTCGTTGGAAAGAGTGTTGAAAATTGACTCATTCAGTGACTTGTAGGTAATGCCTCTGTGTTCATTAGTTTTTCGAGACGGTAGAAACCATCGTATTGCTGTTAACTAGGATCATGCTGTTATTAAACCCGTTCTTTTCAAATATTAGAGGTTTTTGCATCTAATTGTATACAGATAAATGAAGCGGCGCTGTGGTTGAAGGTGCCCAGCAGTAAAAATCGGATCGATGTCCGCTCCACAGGCCTTCCATCCCTCCGGGGTGGGCAAATTGATACCAGACTTGTCTGAGAGGATAGCAGCACTGGCCATCGGTAGGCCAGCACGAATCATTTTAAAGATCGTATATGCATTCAGTTCTCCCTTAACGATGTTTAATGAAGTCGGATGCACGGCGCATCCTTTAGGGATTGATCAACGCCAAGAGCTTTTCTGTTGTTTTTTCGACTGTATAGAATTGAGATGTAGTTTCTTTATGGTAACATTTAGTAGTTCAAGTTCAAAGTTTCTATTTCATAGGAAATGCTTGGTTATACGCTGGTGGTTAGACTTGTGTGCGGTTATATTTACTCTTGTAGATTCTGACGATGGGGATCTTGTCAAACAAAAAGTCACATTACCCATGTCCGACACAGTGACCTTTCACTCTGAGCCCTCGAAAAGTGCCAAACAGGTTTGTTTTCTAGTGTCGTGAATTTTTTCTCAGTTTGGAATGCGATATTCCTAAGTTCAGCATTTTAGCGGAAGAAGAAACGTATTAAGAAGCTGACAAAAAGCGAATTGAGTGAGAGAAGGAAATTGGCTGAAGATAGGAAATTGCTCGGACTTGTGAAACCTGATTTGGCAACAAATAAAGAGAAAGAGCGATTACTAAAGAGAATCGCTACTAAGTATGTGATATGCTTAGCTGATATAAACGGGATATGATGAAGCAGAACGATTTCAGAGGCGTTGTTCAGTTGTTTAATGCAGTTTCCGAGAGACAACATATATTAGCCGAGGAACTGTCGAAGAAGATGACTGCCAAGGAGCGAAGAGAAGCTGAAAAGCGTCTTCAAGGTTCCACATTCCGAGTTTATTCAGAAGAAACTAGGGAGGAAACCGTTAAGGTAAACATTTCTTTTGTAAGAAAGCTTACCTTATTATATTCTAACATTACTTTGGTACAGTTGTCAACTTTCAGAGAGAGCCGGAAGTGGATGACGAAGGGGAATACATTAAGAAAGAAGAAGTGGAGTAATTGTTCTCTGTTATCAATTTTTCGTTCCATTGTTATTGTTTTTGTTTGTTTTTTGCTGTTTATTCCACACAACCCTTTTCGTTGTTCTGTATCCATGTTCGGGGCCAAATATATGAATCGTATCTCTTATACTCTACACCACTTGTAAGGAACACGTTCATCATGATATGCTTAGTTTTCCTGCGCTGCACCACGTTTAAGAGATACGTTTGTCATGATCATCGCCCTTATCGTAACAGTTTAAATGAATAAGATTAGGGTTTGCTGCAGTTAGCAGAGCTCTGTAAGGATCAATGAGGACGAAGAATGATATTTTGTGGTAGCTCAGAGATACTCTTTACGACTAATTTTGTGACTTTTTCAAGCTTGTTTTTGCAGGATTAAGCTAAATGTTTTATACCAGAGACTGCTGAAGACCTCGGGCGACTCCGGTCTGTCTCGGCTTAGATCCTTACACTGATATGCCGTCTTGATCGGTAATCAACAGTTCACCGAATAGAGTTTGCTTATTGTTTACTATTAATGTTCCACTATCTGTCTGTATACTGTTTTTTAAGCTGATCTTTCTTTATCGTACTTGCTAACAAAGCTCAATGTGAATTCTTTGCTTGGTTTTAGAAGGATGCTTGCGAAGAGTATGTCTGAACTGCATGTTTTACTTCCTCTATTCAGTCATTTTAAAGCAATTTATCAGTTTCGTATTGCCTACAGTTACTTTTGTATCGCCCTGAAGATCGGTTTCAGTGTTTTTGAATGTGGCGAAAGTAACTAGAGAATGGCTTTCGTTTTGTTTTCTATAACGGTATAAGTTCGCATGTCTGGAACTGTGTCGCTTATTATATTGCTACTTTTCCCAATATGGAGCCACATCCGTCAAGTACTGAACGTACTTTATCGAAGGAAAGTCAATTTATTGCAATTAGTTGCGATGTGAGATTGTTTCAGGTATGTCATCAAAGATAGCACGCAGCTTTCTTGGTCGGATATCGCAGACCATGAGCACCACCTGCCCTCACCACAGTCACGATCCTAATCCCATATTGGTGGCTCGACCAAACAGAAACGGAGCAGGTCACGGTTCGTTCATAGATGCTTTTTCCTACTAGGAATAAAGTGTTTGTAAAGCTTAATCTATGCTGTCAAATATTTGGACGAAAAGTAGTTTCTGATAGAAATGACCGCAAAATTCTTCCACTGGCTCATCCAGTCTCTCGGTGCTAACCAGGTGTGGGACAGTTTGGAGTAAAAGGTACCTACTCTAGATAAGCAGGAAATATGGGATTTGGAAATGCTGCTAAATCAAGTGAGCCTTGATTTACCACTAACCGGGTTTTCATGAGGAAATTTCACGTTTGAGGGTGAACGCCAAATTAACTATGACCTGCTTAAATTTGCCGTCTCGCATATCGTGCCTAACCAAGCACTTCTATTCATTTCCTCCTCTTAAGTCCGTCAGTTGTAGAGGTGGTAATGTTCTGGTTTATTCGGGTAGACTTTTAGGAGAGCTGTAAAATTAACTTAGTTCCGTAGAAAATTTTTCCGTATAGTATTGCATAGATTAAGTTTTTGAGCTTTATGAATCACATGTTAGATGGAGAGACTGGGAAGACGACAACCATTTGCACTATTGTATTTCAATTGTTTAGGGTCCATGGATTACGCGTTTGAGATGATCTGCTCAACGATACGCTTCGGAAAAGGTGTAGCTTCCGAGATAGGTTATGATGTTAAGAATTTAGGAGCAAAGAATACCCTTGTTGTGACCGATAAAAATGTCATTAACACTGCAGCGTTCAAGTGAGTCAAAAGCATAGGCTTTAAGTTAGGGATAAAGGTTCATGTAAATTCATATTATTCAGGAGTGTCACTGATTCGTTTGGATCTCTCGATGTGAAATATACCGTGTTCGACGATGTCCTTATTGAGCCAACAGATGAAAGTATGTTTGTAGTTTTTTATGGGTTTTAAAGAAAGGCTCTTAACTGTGGTGTATGCAAATAGTTACTGTTTCATTGCAGTCTTTATGGAAGGGTTTTCTGCAAAGTCCCATCTAACAACTACGGGTAATTCTTTAAAAACAGTTTAACTGCGGAAGATTTCTTGAATGTTATAGTTAATCAAGTGTTAAAAGAGCAACAAAATCCTTTTAAAAGGTGAACATATTAAAGGTATGATGAAAGCTGTTGATTTCGCTCGTAATCTCGGTTGTGATTCCTTTGTGGCTGTCGGTGGTGGTTCGGTTATCGACACGACAAAGGTAGTAACATTGCGTTATTATAATAACCTGTAACTTTTTATTTACTGTGTATTATTTATTTTTATTTTTTTCCCTGTTAGAATGAAAAAAATTGTTGATTGGAACTCATAATGAGTGTCTGAATGGCGCAGTGGATAATCCATGAGCCCAGGAAAGAGTAAATGCTTGTTTGAATCTGGTTTGGGATTTCCAGTTTTCTCATATCTCAGCATAATTATGGTTGATTTATAATACTTCATATATTCCTGGAACCAATAAAACATTTCGGACAGCTTCAAAACTTTTGTTGACTATTAGAGAGGAAAGAATATTGTAGTGTAGCAACAAAAAAGTACTATCACCTCACTTATCACCTGTCATCGTCATCGAGTGACCCGAGGAAGCGCCAGTTGATCTTTCATTTCTCCTCGTCGCGGGCAAGAGCAGCCCAATGGGCTCTGCTCGCTCTAGAAACTCTTTAATCATATCTTTCTTCAAGGGTTTCCGTGATAAACTCCGACTCGGTGGTTTTCTTGCTATGCAATTTACATCCTGTAGAACCGAGTCACTAACGGTTCTTATCCATTGACCGTCGTTAATGAGCATTACGTGCCCGGCCCACCTTATCTTCGACTGTTTGGCGTGCAGAACGGCATCTTTGATTTTTGATCGTTGATGCAGGTCGGAGCTTCGGATCCCTTCCCTTACTTGCGTGACACGGGGTACTCCTAGCATCGTCCTTCCGACTGCGCGTTCAATCACGCTGAGTGATTCTTTGTTTCGTTCACTACATCCTCGACGCTTGAAACTCCCAAACCGTTCGCTTCCTCCTGCTAAATTCTGGAGCTAGGTTGTTCATCATGTTGATTTCCCGAAGTAGATAGAAATACTGAGAGCATTTGGAGATATACCTACCGTTGAGCGTGAATATAACATAAGAAACTAATCCTTTCCTTACGGACGTCGTTTTTTGAGACTTACTCGTAGACCAATCTTTCCAAACCCCTTTTTTGACATCAGTGTTAATATCAATGTAAAGTGATGGTATGTTGGTTGTGAAATTTTTATGTAGTACACGAAGAATCGTTTTGAACTGAATAGAACGCCTTAGCTGTCCGCAGCTGCACTGTGCTCACAACACAGCGTCTCGCAGTCGAACATTGCCGTGCTCATAACACAATGCATCAGAGTTCAGTAGGTAATGTGCCCTGCTCACAACAAGATCACTCTCAGTTCGGTAGCCAGAGTGCCGTGATCACAACACAGTGGCTTGTCATCAGCAGCCAATTTTCCGTATTCAGGGTATGCTCTGATAAATGCACCTTTGCTTGAGAAACAGTTAATTAGTCTTTTATCTTGCACGTGTGAAGCATTAACTGTCCAATATAAATAATTTCTTCTTCTTTTGTATTTTCTAGAACTGTTATACATGAGGCGTGAATCATCAGAGAATAAACACAGCAGGAAGAAAAATATTGGTGCTAAATCGGCTCATGAGGTACTCTGCGATCTACAAGATGCTGTATTTCATACACACTGAAAAGAAAACGAAAACGTAAATTTTTAGCGAAGCTAGAATACAAAGACACAAAGCGCTCCCATGGAGCCGTTCAATATTTCCAACTCTGTTCTTTTGCATATCTCCATTATGACCTTTACTTCTGTTGGTCACTGACAAGCCAATCTAGCACCAATTAGCTCTCTACTTGTCGTCGTTCCGTACTCGAATAACTCATTGAGTTAGGCTCGTTAGAGTTCTTCGAAATATCAGTCCTGGTCACGAAGCGAGTGGATTACCCGTCATGCACTTGATTTCCTTCGTGATTTAGTCCTTAACTTTTCCTGTCCATCACCTATAACCATTATCAGACTCTTCATATATAACTCCCACGTCCGACTTTCTATTAACCTTGGCATTGATTGAATAATTCTTTCTACTTCTGTTCAGGAAACACGAGGTGTTATTTTATTTCATTATTTACCTACAAGCTGACATTTCGGCGGATTTCGCCTTCCTCAGGGCCTGGAAAGGTCAAGATTGACTGCAATCTACACGGCCAAACACCTCCATAACCAGACAGAGAAAATGCTGAACCAAAATTTCAATCACATTGAACACAGCTCTGTACACTCACCGCTTTCTATGAGTCTTCCACTAAATATGTCGCGTGGAGACCAACCGCACAGAGTTCACACGGAATCGTATTGTGCCCATCTCATCAAAATAAATTGATTGAGACTCAATTGCCTTTCTGTCTTTTTTATCCTACTTATATTCCTTGCTCTACACAACCCTCGATTTTTCTACGTCTAAACAGCTCTTGAATGTAGTGAAAAATAAAACCCGTTCTCTATGCAATGTACTCTTGTTAGTATTTAATGAAGTTGTATAAATAGTGCAAAGAATATTGCAATGTTTCTCTTGTAGACATTCTCTCTTTTCATACAATGCTCAAAAGTCATTATAGCGACTGAAAATTAGCAAGTAGCGAATTGCTTTGCAAAATGATGTTGCCCACTTCATGTGATGCCACACCTTCGACAACTCTCCTTCGATGTTTAGTGTGCTTCAGCAGTCTGAACGGTAATAGGATTTTAGAAGAGACTTGGTTCTATCGTTGTACAGGTATTAATATTTCTATATAGTCTTTCGTTCCGAACTATGATCATGATTTATCATCAGCTGTATTATCTGTCACCTATAGTCCCTTTGGTCGTTGAATGACTAGAGGAGGTGTTAGTTGACTTTCCATTTCTTCTCATCGCTGAGAAGAGTAGCTCAGTGGGTTCTGCTTGCTGTAGGACCTCGTTGATCGTATCATTCTCCAAGGGTTTAGGTGATGAACTCCGGCTATCGAGTCGGTGGTTTTTCCGCAGTGCCGTAGACATCCCGAGGAATCCAGTCGCCAACGGCTATTGTCAATCGGTTGTTGTCAATGCGCACTACGTGTCCTGCCCACCTTATCTTGAGCAGTTTGGCGTAAAGGACGGCATCTTTGATTTTTGATCGTTGACGCAAGTAGGAGCTTCTGATCTCTTCCCTTATTTGTGTGACACGGGATACTCTTTACATCGTCCTTTCGACTGCGGGTTCAATCACGCTGAGTGATTTTTCATCCTGCTTACGCAGCTACCAGGTTTATGACGCATACGTTAACACAGGAAGTACGTTGAGTCGAAAAGGTGGGCAAGAAGTCGGGTGTTCTTTGTTCTCTTCACTAAATCTCCGATGCTCTTGAATGCTCTAGATGCTTCGCAAACTGCAAAAGCAAGCTCCCTTTTGCTCAACTCTGGAGCTAAGTCGTTATTCATGTTGATTTCCCGACCTAAATAGACACAACTGGAGCAGTCGGAAATATTCTTCCCGTTGAGCATGAGTGGGAGTGACCTAGGAAACCAATCCTTTCATTACGAACATCGTTTTTTTGTGAGACTTATTCGAAGACCAATCTTTCCAAACCCTTCGTTTAACATTGATGCTACTATCGTTGTAGAATTATGGTATTTTGCTTGCGAAATTTTTATATAGCTCACAAAGAGTCTTTATTAATTGAGTCGGACGCCTTAGAGTCTGAAGCATCCGTAGCTGTTTCTATCTCAACTAGGTCGCATTGTAGAAAGTGTGACGGAGCGGTCTCTTGTACTCTCGCGATACTTCAGTCAGTCTTGTTATCGTCTACATGTGGTTCATCGTACTAAATCATCTTCGAAACCTTGTATGCTCACATGGTTGACCTTCATTCAGTGTTCTGTAAATCCTCTTTAGGGTGACTCGTGTCAAAAGTTTGTAAGCGATAGACAGCAAGCAGATTGGGCGATACTTCCTTATGTTATGGAGATCACGTTTTTTGAAAAATGACACAGTCTTGCTAGTCTTCCACTGAATACGAATCTTGAATTCTAACACGTAACGTGTAAAGAGCGGAGTAGACCATGTCATCACTGTGGCTGCTAGATAGTGTCCGGAACCCTTGAGTTAGTGAACTCGCTATTCCTACGGAGGCAGTGAATTTGTAGCACATTTTTTTTGGGAAGATCTTTGCTACCAGACGTCTGAGAAGTAAGCGGAACTGATCCGATGTGTCAATAGCTACCCTGAGTCAGTGTGTAGGCCAGATATCCATTGAATTACCTTAAACAATGCTTGATGAGGTCGAATGTGTGGCACATCCCTGAGGTGTTGATCAACGCAAAGGGTTTTATCCTTTACCCCTTAAAAAAGCTCTGGGTTGGAAAATTTGTAAGGACACATATCTTGATTACCGACAAGAAATAGTGCTTTCGATATTACAGGCGGCTGCACTCTACACTTCAAATCCTCAGGCGGATTTTTTCGATTTCGTGTGTCCGCCGTTTGGAAAAAACCTTGTTCCACAAAATCCTATCCTTCCTCTTATAGCTGTTCCTACAACTGCTGGCACAGGAAGTGAAACAACAGGTGTGAGCGAAAAGCAAAAGTTGTATGTTAGAAATGACCCTGTTTGACATTGTAAAATGCAGTTCTTAAATCTTTTTTTTTGCGTAGTACCATTTGACAGTGTACTGTATCTCTTCTCAGGTGCAGCGATTATGGACCTTCCGAAATATGAATGTAAATCGGGTATTAGGCAGCGATGCATCAAGCCATTGCTTGCGATTATCGATCCAGAAAACATTAAGAGGTACCAGTACACCAACAATCTACGTTCATCTGAAGATAATCGCAGATCTCCTTTTGACTAATTAATTGATTGCAGCATGCCTCGAAATGTAGCCATCTACTCGGGATTCGACGTGCTTTGTCACGCTATTGAGAGCTATACAGCATTGCCTTACGACCAGGTTTCAAACTCCTCCCACTTATTTCTTCTAGCTGAGAATTGTTATCGTCTTTAGCGCGTACCTCGTCCTCTTCGACCAGAATTACGACCACTTTATCAAGGGGCGAATCCTATTAGTGATATATGGAGTCTGGAAGCGCTCAGAGTAAGATTCTATAGTATGTTTATTCGTAAAATAATTCAAGGATTTTAGATAATCCGTAAATACTTCCGACGCAGTGTTAACGACAGCTCTGATGACGAGGCTAAGTACCATATGCTGCTGGCAAGCACATTCGCCGGTATTGGGTTTGGGAACGCTGGAGTTCATCTTTGCCATGGATTGAGCTATCCGATTAGTTTAGTTTTCTTTTATTTAAGCATAAAGAGACGAAGTCTACGTCACTTTATGGATTTTTAGACATTTCCAGCTGCCTCCCTCTTTTTTTTTTAATTTTCGCTTTTACGTTACTGCGTTTTTTTTGCGTATCTCTTTTCTTCTTTACCCTCTTTGGTCCCGCTCAATGTCCAGTTTTCTTCTAGGAAAATCTTTAGTGGATTATTTGATATTCGTATTTATTTTGTCTCCATTACCGCCTTAGTTCCATGCTGCAAATGCTGTTATTTCAGCTCTCAAGGCAAGTTTTACTATGATGTTGATTATCCGCCAGAAAAAGCATTGATTCCTCATGGTCTTTCCGTCGTCACCACTGCTGCTGCCGACTTCGACTATCTTACTCCTGCATTTCCGGAACGACATGCAGAAGCGGCGCGGCATTTGGGAGCTGAGATACCGGTTTGCTTATCTCTGGATTTCTTCTTTCCTACGGTGTTGTTTGTTTATTTTAAGCAAAATTTCTGCGATAGTGCTGGTTTTCTAATAAGTGCCAGTAATTTTTGATCACCTTTGCCACTTCCCGTACCATTGGTCATCGATTGACTCCAGCGAGCGCCAGTAAATCTACCATTTTTCCTGCCGCTTGCAAGATTAGCCTAATTGGTTCTCCTCGGTGTAGGAACTAGTTGGGCATCGTCTCCTTCTAGGGTTTTCATCAACAATTATGATCATTCGGTTTGTGGTCTTATCGTAGTACGTTTGATAGCCGAGGAATTCAGTTACTAACGGCTTTTGTCCATCGGTTGTCATGCGGGTACGTTACGTGTTTGGTCATCCTTATCTTTTACAGTATGGTGTATAGAACGGCGTGTCTGATTTTTGATCCCCCACGTAAGTTGGAGCTTCACGTCCGCTCAGTCAATTGCGTAATACGAGATACTCCCAGCGTCGTACTTTCGGCTGTGCGTTCAGTAACACGACGACCTTTCATCCTGCCTACGTAGGGCCCTCTTCGATACCCTGCTTGCTCACATGGCTGTTATTCTTCCAGTGTCCTGTCAGTGCTGTGTATCATGACTCGAGTGAAGTTGGGCGATAGTTTTCGGTATCGTAGAATTCACTCTTTTTAACAACAACAACAAGGTCGTGCTGGTCTCCCAATGAAAAGGAAACTTCCATTCAGACAGGCAACGTGCGAAAAGCCGAACCAGTGTGTTTATGAGGACTGACGGAAGGTTCTTCAGGTGTTCTTCAAGAGATCTTGTCCGGTCAAGAGTGGGTATTATTCGATTTTTCACCCACGAAATATCGTGCTGAATTTGGAAAGGGGAATTGGTGGGACCACAACCTTTATTTCATGTGAGGGAAGGAGAACGTGGCTATTTAAGAGACCCGAGTAGTAATTACAAATAATATTCTCTATTCCCTTTCTGGAACATTTAACTGAACCGTTTGCACGTCTTAATGCAATCATCTTGGTTTATTTATCTGGCGAAGTTTCGGTGGACTTTGCGAATGCTTTTCCCAGCCTCTGCATCTTCGACCATTACTACTGCTCTTCCCTCGTTAAGATCTTTTATCGCCTGACTGCATTGTTTTGTAAGTTAGTACGTTAGTTCGCGGTTGCCTGCAGCTCGTGCGATTCCGCGCTGGCGTACCAGCTCAATTGTCGTTGGAGACAGACGTCTCTTGGTGACTTTCGAACTCCCAGCTTTTACAGCGCTAACGTGAAGAAGTTGAATGAGCCGATCGTATCCTTTGTCGATGTTATCGACAACGGCATTTTTCCAGCGGCCGACGAATGAATTGAATAACTCCCATTTACGGTTATTCTCGGACTATTCTCGGACGTTACCATGGATTGTCTTGGTCGCCATGACAAACTCAGATAGCCGCTCACCGTGTTCGTTTCATTCTAATCCGTGGGTCCCAATGTGACGTTCAACAGACGTTCTTATTGGTCCAATCTTGGCGTTGGAATCTCCAATGATGACCTTGAAGAATGTGTGCTTCTCTGTAGAACTTCTCTAAGTGCTTATAGAACGCTTCGACTTCTTCGTCATAGTTTGGTGTCGGCGCGTAAACGACGAAGATTGTCAAAGCCGGAATTGATGCACGTCTTTTTTAATCGTAAACGTCTGATTCAGGTTGTAACTTGTTCGAATGAATCGATGTTCATGGACAAACTCGTGTTGACGAGAACGCTGACGCCGCCGACTCCTCTACTATCGCATATTCAGAGGAACAGCTCCTCTCTGGTCTCATAGACGGTGTTGAATGGGTGGCGTCATCTCTTCTTGACCATGCCATTGACGCTATACCATATCTTTCTCGCTTGCATGATCAAGTCTTCTATTGAGGACTCGGATGCAAGTGTATGTGCATTGTAGGTACAGATCGTCACTACAGTTCCTTGAAATCCAGGCAGCTTCCATTGGCTCTGAGATTTTAGCAGCCTCTCCGCACTCGACCTACCCAACGCTGCGAAATTGGGGCGGCTTCAGTGGGTCATGGGAATGAGGCCCGTTTTTTTTTTTTTACTGCGTTTAGCATTTTTGATACCCGCGCATAGCTTCTGGAAACGTGGGGTTAGGTATACTCAGGTAGCTTGCCAGGCTCTTGCACAGTGGACGTGGAGCCTATTTGTTGGAGGCGAATCTTAACCGCCTCCCATATACTTCCCCGTCACTTGATTGCAGGCTTTTGGCCGAACTGACTCGTAGAATACAATCCGCATAAACAAGAATGCACCCACACACGCATGCGTGAAATCGCCTAGCAAATGCACATAGTATGTCCCAAATCAATGCAGCAGAAACAGGGAGTCTATCCCCTGGATCCACCTGCGTCTCAGGGAAGCAAAGGCCGCTTTTGGTCAGCGATTAAGCCCCTATCCGCCACTTGGGGACGCGCCACGTAGCATCGCGACTAACCGGCTCGAGATTCCTCATATGAGGGAGATCCGTGGCAACGTGCTATAATTTAAGAAAATGATACATCTCAAAATTTGGCTTGTGAGTAGTATAACATGATTTAGCTATTGCTGGAACACGCTAGATCATCTCATTTTTGGTTCTGGCTTTCTGCCTAAGGAAGTGGCGAAGTTGTTTAGTGGCTTATTAGATGACACCGAGAGAGTTCCGCGTTGAAAAAAACATATATATTAATTTTGGCAGTAAACTCGGGAATATCGAGAAACAAGCTGCTTCATCACACAAAAGTTTACTGATATTGGGAAAATCCCAGAACGGCTGAGTAGAAGTTGCTGTCTCGACGATCAAAAAATCAGTTTCGTTATCTGCTTCTAAATCCACAAAACTCCATGGGTAACAGAAGCCTAACAACGAAATGAGTGAAAGAAACGCAACGGTCATTGTGAAAACGGGTTATGCGAACTAAAATTTAGGAGATGGTTTTCGTCGCAATTATAGGAGGCTCATCATGGGCCGAGTTATTGATTATATAGTCGAATACGGTCCAGTGAACAAACCGATATCACTTTGCTAAAAAAGTGCAAATCCCAATAGTTTCAATTTATGCTCGAAGTTTGTGATGTGAACTAGGTTATGTGGGTACGAAATTGAGTGGAAAAACTGCAAAGCTTCAGAAGTTCAACATTCCTTAACGTCAGTAGCCACCGTATGGAATGGCCGCTTCGGCAGGACCTCATCAACAACGGCAACACGAACGTCATTCACTTTTTCTTTTCTCTCCTCCCTCTTTTTCTTTCTTCTTCCTTTGCTGTTAGAGATGCTTCGCTGGTCTGGAGACGCAGGAATTGAAGATTTTGTCACTTTCATATTCCCGAACTCAAAAGCAAAACTCTTTAATCATTTTCCATGTTCCCTCTTAGAAGTTGTGTACATGTGTATGTATAAGTATTTATTTTGAAAGATCTGAAACCCCTTCCAACGGTTTACCGCCTCAACGTGAGTTGGAGGTGTTCATGAGTGTCGTGCTGCGATGTACACTGCCGGGTTATATCCCCACTGAAGGGCCTCCCAGGCTGAGCAGCAGTCCAGCCTTTCGATCAGGAAACCCTGCTAAGAGTAAACCAATACCAGGGCCCATCACCGTCCTCGTATTAAAGTCGAATTGTGGAAAATCTCACTCTGATCCACAAGGGCTGCGATTGCCTGTGATGTTGAAGACGTGGGGCAGGCTTTGGCCAGGCTGACCTCCGGTTTCCAGAGAACCACAACGGCTTAACCAGCAAATCTCCGAAAAGTGGAGATCATGATGGGGCCTGCACAAGGTTATACAAAACCTTTTTACAATGATGTGGTCTATTTCATTATGGTACTCTCCATTGCGAGACTCCCATGTCCAGCGTTGAGGGTGGGGCTTCTGGGATTGCGAGTTATCATGGATGGTCTTGGTCACCGTGATAAATTTAGACAGCCGCTCACCCTATGCGTTCCATTTTAATCCATGGGTTCCAATGTGACGTTCTTCAGACGTCCTTCTTGGTCCAATCTTGACGCTGAAATCTCCAATGATGATCTTGAAGAATGTGTGCTTCTCTGTAGAAGTTCTCCAAGTCCTTATAGAATGCTTCTACTTCTTTTTCTTCGTCATAGTTGTTGTCGTCGTGTTAGCGGCGAAGATTGTCAAAGCCGCTATTGATCCACATCTTTTTAATCGTAAACGTCCGATTCGGGTTGTTAGTCGGCCGGGCCGGTGATGTTGTGCCTTATCCTTCTTGCTTGCATGAGCAACTCTACAGAGGACTTGCATGCAAGTGTACGTGCATTATAGGTACAGATCGTCACCTTAGTTCTTCGTTATTCAGGCAGCTTCTATTGGCTCTGAGATTTTAGCAGTCTCTACCCAACGCTGCCGAATTGGGGCTCTTTCGGGGTCAGGTGAATGAGGCCTGTTTCTTTCACTGTTTTTACTTTTTGATACTCACATATAGCTTTCTATGCTCTGAACGTGGGGACTGGGTATACCCACGGGTAGCTTACCAGGTTCTACCAGAGTGAACGTGGAAATTCTTCGTTGGAGGCGACTCCTAACCGCCTCCCATGTACTACTCTGTCACTTGATTGTAAACTTTTCGTCGACCTGACTGGTAGAATAAAATCCGCATGAACTAGAACGCACCCACACACGCGTGCTTGAATGCGCTTCGTAAATACAGAAAATATTTGTCAAATCGGTGCATCACAAACAGGAAGTCCATTCAATGGATACGCCTGCGTCTCAGGGAAACAAGAGTCGCTTTTGGTCCGAGATTAACCCCCTTTCCACCACCTGGCCACTCGCCACATAGCCTCGCGGCTAACCACTTATCGGAATACCTCTTGTGAAGGAGATCCGTGGTCTTAACCAAAAGGAAATAGACCACATCATAGGTAACCGAAAGTTTTGCCTAACCGATGAGGTCGTCGTCCCAAAATTCTGCACGTGATCGGACCACCGTCTCCTTCGTGCAAGGTTCCATTTCTTGCAGAAAGAAAAAAATGCTAAATTAAAAAACGAGCTCCCAAAATCACTATAAATTGGAACTTATTCAGCTCATTAGTCGGCTGTTGGGAAGGTGCCGTTCTCGATAACATCGACAAAGAGTGCGATCGGCTCATTCAACATCTTTATGTTACCGCTATGAAAGCTGAGAGTTCGAAATTCACCAAGAGACGTCCATCTCCAGAAACTCTCGAGCTGGTACGTCAGCGTGAAATCGCAGGAGCTGCAGCCAACTACAAACTAACTCCCGAAGTAGCAAAACAATGCAGACATGGGATAAAAGACGGTCTAAGATAGAGAAGAGCAGCAGTAATGGTCGTAGCTGCAGAGGCTGAGAAAAACATTCGCAAAGCCCACCGAAGCTTCGCCAATTACATGATCAAGATGATTGCACTCCGACGCCTAGACGGAACAGCTACAGCGTCCAGAAAGTTAATGGAGAAAATCATTCATGAATATTATTCGGATCTCTTCGAAGACACGTCCCCTTCCCATCATATGAAATAAAGGATGATGAATATGTTGTACCACCGGTTCTCCCTTCCGAAATCCGACATGCCATTTCGTCGGCGAAAAATCGAACAGCACCAGGTCCGGACAGGATAAGACCAGAACATCTGAAGAACCTTTCGTCAGTTCTCGTAAACACACTGGCTCGGCTCTTCACGTTACCTGTCTGAATGCAAGGTCCCTGCTCAGGGGTAGACTAGCGAGCGACTTAGATCCAGAGTTGAGCAGAAGGAAATGAGTGGCTTGGGAGCTTTCAAGAGCATCGAGGATGTAGTAGAGACGACAAAGAACACCCGTCTCCGTTCCCACCTTTTCGACTCAACGGTACTTCCTGCGTTAACGTATGCTTCAGAAACCTGGTCGCTGCGTAGACGGAATGAAAGGTCACTCGGCGTTATCGAACGCGCAGTCGAAAAGACGATGCCAGGAGTATC